CTTAGATTTACGAGTTAGTCCAGCAGAATTCAGATCAGTATTCCGATACTTAGATTTGTGAGTTATCTTGTTAGCCCAGCCCGGCTTTTCTTGTTAGCCCAGCCCGGCTTTTCTTTCACATTCTTAGACTTGTGAGTCATCTTGTTAGCCCAGCCCAGCTTTTCCTTCACAATTCGTATTTCCCTTGCACTGGGTGTGGTGGAGGGAAGGGGCCATGGAGAGGTGGCTCTGCCTTCTTTCCAGCAGTGAACAAACTTGGCTGCACATTAGAATCACCTGAGCAGCTTTCAAGATTCCTGACACCCAAACCTGGTCCCAAACCAGTTAAATCAGCGTCTCTGGGGTTGAGAGTAGGCACCAATCATTTCTTAAAGGTGCATCAGGATCGCAGTGTGCAGTTCAGGAGCCAGTATTCCAGGCCTGTGTGTAAGACACAAGGGTGTGATGCTGAGAGAGACCTGGAGAGCTTTGCCCAGAGAGAGTGTGGGAGCTGACCCCGGGCAGGACCCCACAGAGGCCCCCTCTGTCCCTGGCCTGCATCTCAGCCAGCCGGGTTCTGACAGTTCTGCCAGGAGCTGCTGTATTGTGTTTGATCATTTGGCAGCTTTAGATCTCCAAACCTGCACAGGGGAGCAGAATTTGGCACCCCAAAATATGTGTCTTTGGCATAAGGATTATTTTAAGACGGTTATTTTAGAGAAACTGCGGGTACAGGAGAAGCTCTGAAAACCCAGTAGAAGTTACCCCTTGTAGAAGGGACATCTCCATCGCTGTACCAGGAAGAGGAGCATGACTCAATCTAAAAGCTCTTTATCAGTGGAGAAGGCAGTGCCTTATTATCTGCATAATGCCCTTACCCTGTATACTGTCCTTTTCCTGGTAACCTCCCATAACTGACTCCCCCCACCCCAAACATCATCTTTTGTCTTTAGCTGAAGATGGCATTTAAGATAGTGGCTTGGGCTATTTTGGCGAATAACTCTGTTTTTCTGGGTTTCTCCCATGTATACATGTTACTCAACTTTGCTGAAGAACCTAGAAGGGTAGAGTAAACATTTTCTTCCCTAATACCTGTGAATATTAAACTGGGCTTGGTGATTTTGTGAACGTCCACCGTAAGTCCTTCCCCCCTTCTGAGGGCCTGGCTGCTGTGACTCCTGAACGAGTCCAAGCTTGTGGCTTTGCTGGAGATGCTGCTGCCTCTAACGGAGCAGAGTCCCGGGCCCAGGCCCTGCTGCCCCACCTCCCGTGTCAAGAGTGATTCCCCAGAAGCTGTGTGATGTTCCTCTGTGGCTGTCACAGCTGTTCTGAGTTATAAGTTGCAGTTAACCTGCTTGTCCCAACCTGCCCAGTTCACCTGTAAGTAACAGATCTCCACCTCGGCCAGCCTGAGGGCCTCTTCAGCAGCAACCATCAGAATAGAAAATGACATCTCCTCCTGTCCCACATGGCAAGGAGAGGCCATTATCAGCCCTACTGTCATCCAGTAAGCCCTGGGTGCTGGTATGGTATGGTGCCAGTCCCCAGGTCATCAGTGCACTGTGACCACCCTCTCTTGGTCCTATGGCTCAGCTCCTAACTTGCACCCATGGGGCCTCACCTTCCAGGGTGAGGACCCAGAGCTGGGAGGTACCAGAGGGTACCCCTCACCCTGGGAAGCAGGAGGGAGCTGGGGAGGGTCTTCTCTTCCTTTTAAGGATGCCACCTCCTCCCTTCCTCAGTGAATGACATTTTTTGGCAAACCCATTTGTATTTTGGAAAATATGAACCCACAGTTGCATAAGGAGAAAAGGCTGCTCGTGTGTTCGCTCACTCAGGCTGCCGGCATCTCCCTTGGGCGCGGCCCTGCTGGAAGGGTGGCTGCAGCAGCTTCTTGAACTTGTTACCTGCAGCACCTAGAACTGCTCCAGCTGGCGGTCCACTGAGGCGCCGTAGAATGACCAGCCCCTTCCCTGTGCCTCTATTCATCATCTTTAAGGCAGAGATAGACATTCTTGCCCTAACCTGCTTAGAGATTGCTGAGAAGATTAGGGGCAGATGACTGATAGGAACATTTTTACTTTGAAACAGAAAACACTGGGGAAATCTCAAGAGTTTATCATTAAGTCTAGTCCCTGAAGAAAGCAGCTGTTCTAGAAGGCAAAGAAAGTGGCTTGTCACATTTTAGGCCCCAGGCCCACAGCCTTGACCTGTCAAGGGTTAAGGGGGATAGTAAGGAAGCTAGTGACCGGCCTGACTCCCAGCTTGACTCCTGCTGGCAGGAAGTGGGAAGGTTGGCTGGGCGGCTGTTCAAGCTGTTGCTGGGGACCCTGATGAACTCCCGAACGCCAAATGCTGAATGCTGTAGCCTGGGGGACGGGGCTTGGCAGGAGAACGGGAGTCTGTGGCATTTGATTAGTTGTTCCTGCTCTCAGGCCCCCTCCCTCCTCACACAGGGTCTCATCTCAGCTGTCACTTTCTCCCTTTGTGCACAGGCTCAAGAATGGGACATGGATGCCAGGCGACCCATGCCTTTCCAGTTCCCACCCTTCCCAGATAGGGCACCCGTCTTCCCTGACCGCATGATGAGAGAGCCCCAGCTGCCCACAGCTGAGATCTCTCTCTGGACCGTGGTGGCAGCCATCCAGGCCGTGGAGAGGAAGGTGGATGCCCAGGCCAGCCAGCTGCTAAATCTGGAGGGACGGACGGGGACGGCTGAGAAGAAGCTGGCTGACTGTGAGAAGACGGCCGTGGAGTTCGGGAACCACATGGAGGGCAAGTGGGCCGTGCTGGGCACCCTGCTGCAGGAGTACGGGCTGCTGCAGAGGCGGCTGGAGAACATGGAGAACCTGCTGCGGAACAGGAACTTCTGGGTCCTGCGGCTGCCCCCGGGCAGCAAGGGGGAGGTCCCTAAGGTAAGTGGAGGTCCCCAGGGGCAGGGATGGTGGTGGGGACCAGCAAAGGTGAACAAAACTCTGTATTTCATTTTGTCAGACCTCACAAACATCTTTGGCTCCGTGTTGTCTAACTTCTCAAAGCCTGTCTCCACTTTAACAACCTCGTCTGGAATGTTCTACCACAGTGAGGCTGGCAGTTATCAGCTCTCGGACAATCTTGTTTCATCTAACTCCCTACCCACATCCCCCTCCCGTTTTATTTTGAAGCCCATCTCAGACAGCAATCATTTGCATTGTAAATATTTCAGTCTGTGGCTCTGAAAGGTAAAGACTCTTTCCTTTAAAGTAATAATCTCCATGTTATTACTACCACAGCAAAAACCTCAACCCACTCAAATGTCCAATCAATGTTCAAATTTTCAGCTTTTCCAAAAATGTTAATGTATTTTTTTCCATTTGTTTGCCTGAATCAGAACTTAAATAGGTCTACACACTGTGATTGCTATGTCTCTTAAGTCTTTTTTTAATCTATGAGTTCCTCCTCCATCTCTCATTTTTCCTTGTAGTTTATCTGGGAAGAAGCTAGGCCATCTGTCCTGTGGAATTTCTCACTGCCTGGATTCTGCTGCTGTGTCCTCCATGGTCTCATTTAACATGTTCCTCTCTTCTCAGTATTCCAGTGAATTGGTAATTGAATTATTCTCCCTAGAACCCCTGTGGATGAGGCTCTTGCTACACCGCCTCCATCCAGCTGGTCATGCCAGAGCTCTGATGACGTCCATGGTATTAAAGGCAAGGGTCACTAAAGCCGTGGTATTGAAGTCCCAGTCTTCATCTTCCTGGCCCTGTCTGCTGCATTCATGCAAGAGACCATACAGTGCCTGTTCGCTTGCCTTCCAGGACCCACCCTCCCTCAGCCTTGGTTCTTTCCCTACCTCACTGGCTGCTCCTTCTCAGCTCCTTCGCTGCCCTCACCTCCTTTCCCAACGATTCTGGGGCTCAGTCCTCACCTTCTGCTCGTTGTTTATCTGCACTCACTCCCTCTCTCGTGATCTCATCCGGGCTCAGGGTGCCATCTGTGTGCTGTCCACTCCCGAACGCCATTTTTCCCTCCCTCTCTCTCTATCCTTCCCAGACTTCCACTTGAACTCGAGATTTGCAGTCCTGCCTATTAATTCAGCTTTTCCATCAGGGTGTCAGTAAATATCTTAGATTGAGCCCAACCAAACTGAACTCTCGATTTCTGCCTGAAACCTCTTCTACCCCAAGTCATCCTCATCTCCACTGACGAGCATCCTTCCAGCTGCTCAAGCCACAAGTGTTGGGGTCATCCTTGCCTTTTCCTTTTCTCACCTGACCTCCACTAATAATAAACTTAATAAATGCCATCTGATTTTTCTTCAAAGTGTGTCCACAGCCCAACCACTCCACCTGCCTCCACCATACCCAGCTTGATCTGCCATCACCTCTTGTCTCATTATTGCCGTGGCCTCCTCCCTGGTCTCCTTTGCCCCCTACCCCATACAGTCTGTTCTCAGCCAGAGTGGTCCTTTAAAAATATAAAAAAGTCATACTACATCTCTGCCTCAAATCCTCATATAGCTTCCCATCTTATTCAGCGTAAAAGCCCCCATTTCGTCCACGGCCCCTCCCTCCATTCCCACCCTTCCAACCTCATCTCTGCTGCACCCCCTCCTACCCATGCCTTTCTGCCAGCTCACCGCCAGGGGTTGCTCCCAACGGGTCTGCTCCGTTGTCACCAGACCAACGTGCCCTTCAAGCCCCCAGCCCAGCACACCCTCTCCTCTGTCCCTGCTCTCATTTTCTCTAAAGCACTGATGCCGTCAGGCATCTTGCATGCTGTACTTTTTTTTTGTCTCTTGGTTGGTTTTCCTCTGCCCAGTGTCTCTGTGCTGATAACCATACCAGGCTTATAGCAAAAAATGTTTGCTAGTGACTCTCCAGCTGGAGAGCTCACACTGCCACATAGGGGACTGGGTCTTCCTTGTTTTTGTATCTGGCAGCCAACCCAGTGCCATTGCCAGAGGAGGTGCTTGATGGTGACCTGTTGAGGCCGCACAGAGCCTAGTTCTGACAGTGGCTTGGTTCCTCCCTAAGACACCCTCTGCCCCTGCAGCCCACAGGGACCCGTTTTCAGTACAGTTTTGTCATATACTGCTTCTGCTGCACAGGCAGCGTCTCCTCTCACACTGCCCTTGTCTCTCATCTGTGCCTTGCATTTTAACTCAGGGCCATGTCCTTACGTGGCACTATTGTGCGTTCTGAGCACTGAACCAGGTGTTAGGGGTCCTGAGTTGACACGTGCCCCCATGGAATAATAGAATGGTTATGGGGTCCGGAATCAGAAGGCTTGGGTTTGAATCTTGGCCTTGCCATGTGCTGGTTTTCTTACTACACATCAAGTACATTTTGTGTTGTCTCTGAGCCTCCTCAATTCCTCTTTTGAAAGAAGTGAAGTATAAATAAGTAATTTAGTAAGTAAGTTCCCAGCTGGTCCCCTCTGAGTTTCAGTGTTCTCATCTGTAAAATGAAGATGATAACGTGTTTACTTTGTGGAGTTGTGAGGATTAACTGATTTTGTTGATGGGACAACACTGTGTTGCTCATTGTATTAGTTATCTATTGCTGTGTCTCAAAACTTAGCAGCCTAAAAAAAACAATCATCATCTTGCAGTTTCTGTGGGTTAGGAATTCAGGAGTGGCTTAGCTGACTGGTTCTGGCTTAGAGTCTCATGAAATTGTAGTCAAGCTGTTGACTGGGGCTTCAGTCATTTGAAGGCTTGACTGAGGCTGGAGGATTGGCTTCCAATATGCTCACTCACCTGCGTCGGGAGGAAGCCTTAGTTAGTTCCTCACAATTTGGACAGTGAGGGTGCTTGTTCATCATCACAGCAGGGCAGCTGGCTTCCCCCAGGGTGAGTGATCCAGGAAAGACAGACCAGGGTGGAAGATGCAGTGCCTTTTACTATCTAGTCTCCGAAGTTGTACCCCATCAGTCCTTTACTTATTTGTTAAGAGCGAGTCACTAAATCCTGCCCACACTCGAGGGGAATTAGGTTCTATTTTTTAAAGTAATTAATTAATTTTAATTTAAAAAAAATTTTATTTTTTATTCAAGTGTAGTCGATTTACAATGTTAGTTTCAGGTGTACAGCATAGGCTGTATTTTTTGAAGGGACTGTCGAAGAATTTGTGGACACGTTTTAAAACCTCCACAACCACAGAGCTTCATGAGAATGTGAATTAATGTTGCTGGCAAGGGTTTCAATTCATCGTGGGCTCTTGGGCTTGCCAGATGCATTCTCTTCACCAGATTCAAGAAAGGCTCTTCTCTCAGCTCCTCTGTGCCTCTTGGGTCCTAGTAATCAGTAAGTTGCTTATGGACAATTCACGGGTAGTCTTTCTGTCCAGCTCGGCTGCAGGCTCTTGGCAGTCTCGAGCCGTGTCTCAGGCTCCTGCTGCGTCCCAGCACAGTGAGGTTTTTACAAAGGCTGTCTGTTTCCGCCTGCAAGAGTATCATTCTGGAGTTCTGACCCTCTGCAGAAATGGTAATGGGAGGCGGAGGAGTTGGTGTGTTGGAAGAGATAAACCTAGTTTGGGAGACCTTTAGTTTGAGGTACTTAAAAGTTGAGTAAATGAAGCCACTTAGAAGGCTGTTGAAATGTGAACTTAGAAGGGAGCAAGGAAAGTATCATCAGCGAAGAGGTGACCACTGAGGTTGTGAAGGGAATGAAATTGCCAAGGGAAAGGTGAGGGCAGAGCCTTGGTCTCGGCGGAGGGAGAGGGAGCAGTGAAGGATGCGCGAGCCGGCCAGGCAGGAGGCAGCACCGTTGTGGAAACCACAGGAAATGATTCCAGGAAGGTGGTCTGACCTTTCCAAGAGGTCCGAAAGGGTGAGGGTTAACAGCAGGGAGCCACCGATGACCTTCCAGGGTGTGGATCCAGAGAGCAGGGGTCAGACAGATTGGGGGTAGGCTGCGTGGATCGTGAAGAAGAAAACACAGAGCCTGTCTTGGGATGTTTCAGTGAAGGAGGAGAGTCAAGTCGCTCGAGGGGGCAGAGTTGAGTAGGTCTCCTCTCGGGTCGGGGTCCCTGAAGGGAGAGCCAGTGGAGAGACTCACGGTGTCAAAGATAGAAGGTGGTCTGGGTTGAGTGTCCCAGGCAGGAGGAGGAGAGGTGAAGGCCCAGGCAGGGGGTTTGGCTCAGCAGGAAGAAGGCCCTGCCAGCGAGGGGAGGCCGGAGAAGGTGGGGGAAGGCCCGGTGAGGGAGAGGAGATGGAGAGGGGAGGGTTTGAAAAAAGCCTCCCAGGAAGCACAGTGAGATGCCAACCAGATCACCAGGAAGCTTCCTTGAGACAAGACGCAGGAGCACGTGGCGGGTGTCAGCAGCAGAATTTTGTGACTTTTATCCAGCAGTGGGGAGTTGAAATGAAGAAAGTGGTCTGTGTCAGTTTTCCCAGGTTGTGGACTTGCCCAAGTCTGGTGGCAGGTCCAGGAAATCAGAAGTTCTAGCTGTGTTTCTGCAGATGAGTGGTAAGCTGTCAGTCCGTACGCGGTGCGCAGGTGTGACAGGGCACCTGCCTGGATGCACTTGGTGTTACAAGCACCTGAGGTGGCGCTGGCACTTGTCATCTGTGTCCCGGCGCTGCCCACTCTCCAGGCAGGCCACCAGTGGGCCTGACACCGAACGGGCCACCTTTTCTAAGTCACACCAAGGTGCCAGGTGTGCGGGTAGAAAGGCGGTTGGACTAGGATTAGGGCCGTGGGGAAAGCTGAGGATTGGATGTCAGAGTGAGGGAAAGGCTGGTTCAGTTGGGATGTGAAAGTGGGGGCGGTGAAGCAGCGTGGGGAGAAGGGAAGTTCAGTTATTAAAGTTGTGGAAGTGAAACCTTGGATTTCACGATTCTGTCCAAGATGAGGCCATGCCCATGAGTGACTGAAATGAGTACAGACCAGCATCCTTGTCAAACTGAAATAACAGCTTTGGAGAGCGGATTAGAGCGCCCTGAGTAACTGGTGACCGACATTAGAGGATGGGTGACTCAGCCTGCAGTGGGAACTTCCTGGTGTCGGCAACGACTGTTCAACACATTCAGCAACTATTTATTGACTCCAGACTGTGCTTCTAGGTGCTTGGGATCTGGCAGTGAACAAAGCAGATCAAGATTCCGGAGCCATAGCACGTGCGGGTTTTAGGGACGAGAATGTAACTGTGTACGTAGGGGTGACCTGACCGGAAATACAAGTTTTATAACAGGGTTTTATTGTACTTGGCTCACTGAGACCCACCCATTCCACCTGCCGCATCTCTGTCACCTTGAACGCCAGAAGCTTTACCTTCAGGTACTAAGTTTCCCTAAAAGTGAAATTACAGAGGATGTGGTTAAATGTTTAATTTTAAAAAGGTAGTGGTGACCATCATTGTAACTGGAAGCACACGTAGGTGAGGGATCAAGTAGCCTAGCTCCACTGGAATGGGCCGGGCGGGGACATGGAGGTGGGGAGCCACGGAGAGCCGAGGCTGGGCTCGGGTGGACTGGCCCTGGGGCTCCTGACGGGGAGCCGGTGGGGAGGAGCATACAGGAGGTGCCAGATTAAAGCTCCTCTTGCCCCAGGTTCCAGTGACTTTTGTCGACATCGCTGTTTACTTCTCTGAGGACGAATGGAAGAACCTGGACGAATGGCAGAAGGAGCTTTACAACAACCTTGTTAAGGAGAACTACAAAACCCTGATGTCCCTGGGTAAGGGCGCCTTCCCTCCCTGGTGGGCGTCTCGGGAGAGGGGAGTGAAATGCTTCTCAACCCACATTGCAACCCCTGGGCAAGGTGTTTCATGTTGATAACCTCATGGAAACGCAAGAAATGATTTGCTTGTAATGCTAGCAAGTTAGAATGATTTATAACAGGATGAAAAGTAAAGCCCAGAAGCAGGGCTTGCCACTGTAGGATCGAACACTGTGCAGTTACCACTTCGGAATACAGTCAGGTGGCATCATTTGTACCTGCTACACCCTGCATCCCAGCAGACTCGGGTACGCCACAGTTCATCCACTGTTGGCTTTCAGGGACCAGCTATTTCTACACCAGAAGCTGGAGAATATTGACTTGTTTTCAGTTCCTCATAAGACATGATGTGGCACTCACATAACGGCCACCACCTAGAGGGGCCCTTGGGTGGGCGGGGGAGTTGGGGAAGGGGAGGGCTTTGCATCCCCCCTGATTGGGACTCACTGATGGGCTCCACTCAGTCCTTCCTTCCCTTCCACCTCATTCCAGACGCAGAGGGTCCGGTGCCCAAGCCAGATGCTCCATCCCAGGCTGAGCCCCGGGAAGAGCCTTGCGTGTGGGAGCAGAGGGACCCAGAGGAGAGAGAAGTCCTGCTGGATCCAGACACAGGTGATGGCAGCGGCAGGGAGCCCCAGGGCCAGGGCGGGGCAGGAGAGAGGCCCCGCCACCCCTGCAGAGGGTCAGGGCCAGAAAGTGCAGGGTGCACGTTTGACTTTTGGATTAGAGCCATGCAGCTGGAGACGCCAAGGTAAGCTGGAGAAAAGAGGAAGGGTGGCCTTGCAGCCTCCCAGGTCCGACGGGGGCCTGCAATGAGGGACCCTAGACATAAGAGCAGCCCTGGCCCAGGCAAGTGGGCATCTGCATGGATGTGTGAATGCATGGTTTGTGTGGCCTCTTGCTTCTTGCTTGGCTGCCATCTCCAGCACCCTCACCCCATTCTCACAGACACCCTATCACAGGCAGACTTACCCTTCAAGGCTTTCTCCTCATCTGAGAAGCATCTTACATTCCGAGGAAATCCAGTTCCTGGTAATGGAACCACCTGGTAATGGAAGGGGCCAGGGTTCTAGTCCCAGCTCTGCCCTCGAGGTCTCCTCTCGGGGCCTCAGCTCTCCTGAGCACCATCAGACCAGGTGAAACCTGGTACTTGCACTGCAGTCTCTGCCTTTTCACTTGAGCCTTCACCCGCTGGTGCCCTCTCCCCTTCCTCCTTTTCAAGTGGAGAGCACGTTCACTGAAACTTCCCTGAGGAGGTAGTTCGAAGGCAGCCCCCTCTTTCCCAATCTGTTTTCTTTACTGAGATATAATTCACATGCCGTAAATCCACTCTTGAAGTGTATCATTCAGTGGTTTGCAAAGGTGTGCAACCATCATCACTATCTAATTCCAGAACATTTTCATCATAGGAAACCCCACACCCAGCAGCAGTCACTCCCGTTCTCCATGACCCCCAGCCCATATGGATTTGCCTGTTCTGGACATTTCGTCTACATGGCTCCCTCCTCCTCTTCAAGCACCACAAGTGTTTGAGGCCAGCAGCTGTGCTAACCTCTCACATTTAAAACAATGTGACCTCAACTGAGTTATCGGCCATCTCTGTGCGAGACAGAACAGGGAACTCTATGCCCATTCTGTGGAAGGACTGAGCAGACTGAGAGCCAGAGAGGTCAAGCGACTCGTGCTGGGCTCAGGGCAGAGTTGAAACCAGGATCCGCGTCTTCTGATTCCTCATCTAGTCTCTCCTGCTGCCTGAGTTGTCTCCTGCCAGGGCTGTATTGTTCATCACACCACAGACCCTCCTAAGAGGACAGTGCCCCGTCGGCCATGTCCCGGGGTCTACCAGGAGGATGTGTTACTGTCTTTCATGCATGAGGGTGCTGCACGTTATCCATCCAGGAGTGGGGCTGGGTTGCTTCTCTTTGCCCAGTCTAACTCCCTGCTAATCGTGTGTGCGGGTGTGTGTGTGTCTGTGAGCACGAATGTGTCTGTGTCTGGCTCACTCTTTCCATCTCGGGTATAGAACAGGGACGAATGTTCTGCCACACAGAGCTAGACCGACGGCCTGTCCTGATCAGCACCCACCCATGGTGGGCTGTTTCCAGACCTCTCCCGGCCCTGTCACACCTCATTTTGTGGCTTGTCTTACCCCTTTGTGCTAAACATGGGTTGCCTCTCCACTCCAGGACATCCTGCTTCTCGGGGTTCCCCGGAGTGGCCCACAGGAACCCAAGCCCCCTGTGCTCTTCCCTGGCAAGTGCTGTCTGCGTGCTCCTGACCCCGAGAACGTCCAGGTGGCAGTCATTCAGAAAAAGGCTCTGAATGACGTGATTCTCTGTCCCCAGGCGCAGAGCCCCTGGTGTCCACGCAGGACGCATCCTCGCAGGTGAAGCGGGAGGAGGCCCTGTGTGTCCGGGGCCAGCGGGGCCTGGAGGAGAGAGCCATCCCCACAGAGTCCATTTCTGGTGCGTGAGCCGGCGGGGAGGGGAGGGCTGGCGTGCGCTGTGGGCGCCCAGCGTGGCCTGCCGTGGCCGGGGCCCGAGCTGAAAGCGGGTGGAGGGACAGGGCCTCCCTTGGGGCGCAGACCTGGCACACGCCCTGGATGGTTTGCCAGGGCTGAGCTGTTCTATTTTCTCTTCTTCATGATATCAGTTTTTAACTGTTCCTTTCTCCCCTTGGGAAGCAGCTTCTGCAGAAGTACTGAGTGTGAGGCACTTTGCAGGCTCCGTGGTTTGGGGGCTATGCTCCCCACTGCGAAGAGCTCCAGTTGTTTTAAACGAGCACGTGGAGGGGCTGCCTGTGGGCCTGGCCCTGCCCGCTGCAGTCCCGTGGGTGGTCTGGGTGCTTCCTCTTACGTGGCATTCCAGCTGGCGCCCTGCTTGAGAACCCTGTTACAGAAGAGACGTATCAGTCAGAGTTCTCCGAAGAATCAACAGGGTGCATGTGTGCGCACCTGTGTAAGGAGAGGTTGATTGGTTGGATTTAATGAAATGGCTTCTGTGATTGTGGAGATTGGCGGGTCAGGAGTCTGCGGGGGGCCGGCAGGGTGGGGACCCAGGGCAGTCTGCTGGCAGAGCTCCCTCTTCCTCAGGGGATGTCAGTCTTCTAAGGCCATCAGCTGGTGGGATGAGGCCCACCCCACATCATGGAAGATAATCTGCTTTACCCAAAGTCTACTGATTCAAATGTTAAACTCCTCAAAAATACAAAACCAAAAAAAAAACCCACAAAACAACAAAACACGGAAACATCACAAATAACATTTGGCCCCATGTCTGGGTCCCGTGGCCTTGGTGAGTGGACACCTAAAATGCGCCATCACAAGAGATGTTAACGTACTGCAGCTCTTTACTTGTCCCCAGGTTAGAGCTCTGCAAACCTTATCCCCCTTAGTCAGAGCCTCATGCTCCTGGGTAAGTGACAATAGCCTCTGAGCAGAGGAAAGCTGGTTCCCAGTTCATCTGGCACCGTCCTCGAAAGCATTATGGTATTACTGTCTTCAGAGGGACCTTTAGAGATAAGGAGGCGCTAAAGGGTAAATGAGGTTTAATAGACTCTGCAGAGGAAAGAAAATGTAGGATAAACTTAGAAAAATCCCATTAAAATGGTGAAGGTGAAAGGCTCCTGGAAGGCGTCACTTTCCTGGAAAACCCCGCATGAGAAACACCTCCTTCCACAAGGTGCTCAGGCCTCGTGCACGAACCCTGCTCGAAGGGGCTGTTCCTGAAGGACAGAACAGCTCTTCTAAAGTCACTGCTCTGTCACTTCCCTGTAGCATCGCTTACTGGCAGCAAAAGCTCCATGAGCTGGGGCCCAACTGACTCAAAGCTGTAATTACCTGGAAGAATTATTCCTGACTTTTAGGGAAAAGAAATAATTGCATGACGTCAGAGACTTAAAGCACAATCTTGCAGGCGTTTTTGTGTCCTCTGACACCTCTGCTTTGTTCCCACAAGCAGACTCACCAGCTTCAGCCCAGGACCTCCTGTCCCGGATCAAACAGGAGGAGCACCCGTGCGTGTGGGATCAGCAGGATTTGGCGGAGAGGGATATTCCAACGGACCCCAACTCAGGTGAGCAGCTGCCAGAATGCATTTTAGAAAAAATTTTATTTAATGGAGGTACTGGGAACTGAACCCAGGACCTCGTGCACACCAAGCATGCGCGCTACCACTGAGGCATGCCCTCCCTCCCAGAAGGCATATTGAGGATGACTTTTGTAGCTGCTGGGGAATCAATCTGACCAAGTCACTTTTGGTCAAAAGCCAGTGAAAGGCTCAGGGGATAAAATACAGCATGTTCCTTTGTCCACATTTTGGCATATAACTGTTAGGAACATGGGGAGGGTTTTTCCAAAGAAATCATTAAATTGATAAATTACCATGTTGATGTAACCGATACTAAAATTACTTCACTGATTCCTGAAATAGAACCAAAAAGCCTTTTAAAAGTTGTGTATATTTCTGTAACAGAAAGAAAGTAATTTACATGTTCTGGAATTTTCCGTGAGTGAATACCAGTTATATGTCTCCCAGGAAACTTCTGGGGAGGGTCCAGGTGTAAAGGGAAGCCTAAAAGAACAATAGGAAAACTCCTCCCACGCAGATGGATTGCGCGCGAGCGTGTGTGTGTGTTCGTTCACGTATGCTTGCAGAGCTGGAGAAGGCCAGTGTCATCTTGTTTGGTAGTTATGACCCCAAAGTCTGATCCCACCCCCCCATACCAGGAAGAGAAGCAGGTGTAAAATGTAGGATTCCTTGTAGTTTGTCAACTCTACAAGTTTACAGTGGGGAGGCTGAAAGGGTCTAGGACAGTTCTTATAAATGACCTTTGTTCACTGCTTCCCTGGTTGCTGGTCTTTAAACCCTACCCCTCCTTCCTCGGTCCTGTGTGCCATCAGAGACCAGGCTTCCACCCCGGAGACCTGGGTTCTGACCCTGGCTCTGCTGCCACACAGACTTTGAAAGACGGCCCCTTGCCCACATCGAATGCATTGAGCACCCCTGAGATCACATTTAGAGAGCTGTTGAGAAGGCAGGGTGACTGGTAAGAAATGAAACACAGGTACCAAAGCGGCCACATGCTCTCTGAGCAGAGCAGCAGCCTCTGCATGTGACGGTTTTTGAACCTTGGTGGGAAGCTCGGTGGAAACGAACAGGATCTAAGACTGCCTTCTTTTCATAAACAGAGTCTCTGATCTCCGCACATGACATTTTGTCGTGGATCAAGCAGGAGGAGCAGCCGTACCCGTGGGGCCCACGTGACTCCATGGAAGGAGAGCTCGGGTTAGATTCTGGCCCCGGTGAGTGGTGCGCCCAGCAGGACCCCTGGGTGTTTTGTCCAGAGGGATGGTTGCTCACCCAGCCTGCCCTTTACAGGGCGACGTTCTGTCATGCAGCCTTTCAAAGGCCTGTACCAAAGCACTGTCACCCTTCCTTCTGGAGGATAGCAGGTGTGTGAGTTTCCTAGGGCTGTCTTAACAAAATACCACAAACCGGCTTGCAACAACAGAAGTTTATTCTCCCATAGTTCTGAAGGACTGAAGTTTGAAATCAAAGGGTTGGCACGGCCATGCTCCCTCTGAAAGCTGTAGGAGAACACTGTCTCTCCCCTCCCTAGCTTCTGGTGCTTGCTGGCAGTCTTTGGTGTTTCTTGGCCTGTGGATGCATCACCCCGGTCTTCTGTCTCCACACGGTCTGTGTGTCTGCGTCTTCAGCTGGTGTCATTTCACTGACACCAGTCCGGGGCCTCCCCTACTCCAGTACATTTAGTTAAGTGACATCTGCAAAGAGCCTATTTCCAACTAAGGTCACATTCTGAAGTACTGGGGGTCCAGATTTCAACATATGTTTTGGTGGGGGATAGAATTCAACCCATAGCAATAGGGAATGTAGAGGCGGCTGGGAGAAAGCTGAGCCAGTGAGGCTGAACAGGAGTTGATGGCAGCAGGGGGCTTACTTACTAGAAAACACCAGCCAGGGTACCCGAGGCAGCCCCGAGCTGACATCCCAGAGAAACTGGGAAGATCCTAAAGCTCAAATAGGAAGAGGGGATTTCTTTCTCCCAACAAGTATGAGTCCAAACATCGCACCTGACTTGGGACTCTTGGGTCTTTTTTTGAAGCCCCACTTATTGGCCAATGACCTTGGGCCTGTGTTCGTGGACATGTGACACTTAGCATCAGACTATGTTCCGTGGCAGAAATGGTACCATTGAATCAGCTACCGCAGTGTCTTCTGGGTGATTGGAGTGGTGAAGGGACAGCTAATCATGTGTTCCTTGTTCATAGTCCTGACACCCTCTAAGAGCTTGAAACCCATGTAAGAGCTGAGGACATAGGTTATTTCTGAATCTGAAAGGACATTTTAAACTCGGGTGAACAGATCTCACTCCCTGTGGGACAAACTTAGTTCAGTCTGGAAGAGCAGGCTAGGGCTGGCGCAGTGGGCAGGGAATGGCAGAGGAACAGTGTATGCCCTTGTCTAAAATGAATTTAAACTGTCCTCTTTCAAACCTGCTGGTGGTGTGGGATGCAACACAGAAATCCCGGGGCTGCCTGTGAGGACCGGAAAAAGTCATAGCAGTTGATTCTACTTCTTTCTCTGCACTGCTAGCCCTGGGCCCAAAGGCAGGGATACCAGTTCATCAACTATTATGCCAGGAAGCCCTGCCCAAACCTTTGTCCCTCAGTGCTACCTTCTGATTTTTCCAAAGTGGCTGAGGGTCTATGGGCTTCGAGGAGCCTTTTCTGGGACCCGTGTGGTTGTGAAAACAGATTGTGGAAAGCCTGTGCAGAAATTGCAAGGTTTTGAAAATGACTTTACTTCTTTAGTTTGGATATGCCGAGCCAATGAGTCATAGAACAGTTTGCCTCATATTGTTTTGTCTCTGGGAGGCCTTAGAAACTTTGCCTTTGGGAAGAAATGCCCAGAATTTGGGAGATAGGAGTAGCTAGAAATGCTTCTCCTGCCCACCCAATTACTAAAGCCTCTTGTCTTTCTCCCAAAGTGAGCCTGCCTTCCACTCATTAATGTTAGAATGTGAAATTAGTATCTCACCTGCGATTTCCTTGAGGTTTAAAACCACCTAGTGTTGTGGCTGCCAAGGAAAACCAGCTGGACTTTTGGTAAGACATGGCATCACCTGGCAGTCTTCTGGAGAGGGCTTAGAAAAGGGAAGGGAGTGGGGTAGAGAGTAAAATGCAGAAATATATGACACCTGTTCCTGCCAGCTGCCTTCTCTGGTCCTGCGATGTACGAGAAAGACCTGTGTCCTGTTTGACTCAAAGTCAGATGTCAGCCTAAGTGGACATTACATTTTTAGAAAAAGGATTCCTGGATTTACATATTAATAAGTGTGTTTTACTCTCTGACCTCTGACAGTGTAAGACAGGAAAAAAATCTATTCACTCAAAGGTAATATGCGTGAGGCTCCACTGAAGCAGAAAGATGTTGGGAGTTTAGTGGTTACCAGGTGCTTCTGGAGAAAGTGGAGAGCCTCAGGCCAGACCACTGTACCCGGGGGCCAATGACTCAACACTCAGACTCAAACCCAGAAGAACATGGCATCACAGAGGCTAGGAGAAGAGTCCTTCAAGGGAGAGCAGGGCTTAACTATGTTCAGTGTGAGGAAGGGTTGAGTATACAGGACCAGGAAGAGGCTCATTGAATTTGGCAGTTTGTAGGTTGTTGGTGACCTTGACCAAAGTTGTTTCGGGGCATGCTGGGACACATGCCTGATTGTGATAGTCTGAAAGAGAATGGAGGTGAATAAGTAGTAAAAATAAGTATAGCTAACTCTTAAAGAATTCTGCTATGAAAAGGAGCAGAGAAGTGAGTGAGACGGCAGCTGGAGGGGGGGAGCACATGGGTCAAGGGAGTGTTCTTTTTAAGTTGGCTGATGCTGCACCGTTGCGTCTGGTAGGATGCTCTCGCTGCTCTAGAACCCTGATTCAAACTCCTTAAAGAATAAAGGCATTTATTCTCTTATGTAACTAAGAGATAATTCAGTTTCAGCCTTGGTTGATTCAAGGATGCAGCTATATTGCCAAGGATCTAGGTTCTTAACTCTGCTCTGCCATTCTTGGTGTGGATGGAGCATGTGGCCTCAGCTGTTCCAGGTATCACCTCCAGAGCCAGAGGGAAAGGAAAGGCCATCTTTTTCCTGCACTCTCTCTAAGGAGTAAGGAAGCTTTCCCAGAAGCCTCCTGGCAAACACATCTCATCGGCCAGAACGATGTCATGTGCTTGTATCTGAGTCAGTTACTTGCCAGTGAGTTCTGGAGCGAAAGTCCTCATGTTAGAGGCTGGAGGAGGAGATGTGACATAATCCCCATGGAGAGTGGAAAAGTGGGACATGCTGGGCCATGAGCTGAGGTGCCAGGCTTTTGAGATAAGTGATTTTCTCCAGCAATCTTCAGCTGCTTGAATGCAATTACTGCATGGGGGTCCCCCAGGCAAGCCCAACAGAGGAGAGAGGGGCAGAGGGACCACAGGAGCTAAGCTGGGTCAGGAGGGGAGAACAAAGGTGGGGGGCAGGAGGGAGCAGGGCAGGACAGTGACAAAAGTGGACAGGCGCTCATGTTGTGTTTGAATTGTCAGCGTAGGATTATGACTGTTTGGGGTTCGATTTCTTGGGAAACAGACCCCCAGATGGAGGTGCACATGCACGTGGTTTCCTTGGGGGTCCTTTAGAGAATAGCACCTATAAAGGACTGAGAAGAGCAGGTCGGGGAGAGGGCAAAGCAAGGCCCACAGCGCAGCTGCGACAGAGGCCATGGCTGATCACACACGATTGAAGGCATGACATCCTGAATCGAGGCCAGGAGAGCTAATTTGGTCTCTACCCCTGGCCAGTGTCCTCTGTAGATGATTCTCTGCCTGGTCAGTGTTGACTGGGATAGAGGTGGGTGGGCCCAGACTGTTAAGGAGTGTCACATAAGGAGCACAGGCTTAGGTCACGCACTGGCCAGCATGAAGGATTGGGTGGCATATATGGCCTGAGAAGTGGCCTCCACGAAGCAGACAGGTCCTGGGCAGAGGAGAGAAGGGATGTGACAAGAGGTGGGGGACAGAGCACAGCTTCGCTTCTTTGCTATGGGCTTCCATGGGCTGCCCCCCAAGTGGGGAGGGACTCCTCCAGGGAGAAAGACTGAACTGGGGATGGGGAGGTGATGGAGGGTGAAGGGAGAAAGATGACCCCTAAATATAGTCAGCAAGCCCAGTAGTTCCTCCATCAGAAGTCTGAGTCGTGGGCCTAAGATCACAGCTCTGATGCTCAGAGCTTGGACCTTGTGCCCCTCTGACCCTCAAGGCAATGGGAAACTGGACTGGGGATACTCAGGGGTGCAACGAAAGGGCATCATTGCAAGAGCAAGTAGGTGCTTCTTGGGGAGGCTGGCTGGGCAGGCACTTCTACACGAGGGTATGGAGAGCCAGTTACATGCGGTGGGAGTCCAGATGGGGTCAGGCACCAGGGTGGGATTCAACAAACCCAGCTGGACCCCGCCGCTGTACCAGACTGAAGGCCACCCGCTTAGTGGAGAAACAACTGCAAACTGGAGGGTGGTGATGGTCCCAGCTCCCTGCGTTCTATTCCTGTAGGCCTTTAGACAGGCTTCTCACCTGGGAAAGGTTCTGGCAATTTCTTTCCCTCCAGTCAAGAGATTCTCCTTAGATTAATTAGCATTGAACATCAGACTACAATTAAGTCATTATTTGCAGGCAGTTCTGCCTTCCAAGGAGACTTACACAGGGTACCCAGTGCCCAGCATCTGGGGATGTTTCCTATCCTAACTGGGCACCACCTGCTTCACCGGCTTCTGGTGCTCTCCAGCTGGTAGCTTTGGTCAGGTCCGAAGGTCAGGAAGCCCGAGAGCCATATAGGACGTGACCATTTGCCTTGTTCAATCCGCGCATCCTTTAGAGAAACTGAGGCCCAGCTAGCCTGAGACTCGCAGGAAACTACCGAGGAAATAGTGAAGGACCCGGGCCCCCTTGCAGGGACGGTGTGGGTCCCGGACCGAGCAGTGTCAGCATGTCACTTCTTCGTGTCTCCTCCCCAGGTGACAGCCTGCTGATGGTGAAGAACCCGCCCCCGGCCCCACCGCCGCCCCAGCCCGCTCCGCAGAGCCTG